CTCTTTGAAAGTTATCTATGCAACTATGCATCATGCAGTCAGTAGCATCTGAGAATAAGCGATGTATGCTCATTAAGTAAAACATATGGAAACATTTATCCAAAATGTTTCCATTTTCCCATATTTGCTTATGGGGTATGTGTGCATTTTAGGTGCACTTTTTAAAAAAATGATAAAAATAAGTTTAATTTTTATTTCACTTAACAGTGTAACACAAGAATTGTGCATTAAATGTTCTTCAGAATATTTTTAAAGTTTCTATAATATACCATCTATGGATTATGTAGTTGATTTAAAAACTGATTAATTTTAAAAAATCTACATTGTTTTCATCATTTGAAATTATAAGCACCACTGCTTTAGACTAGAATTATAGCACCTTTGGATCAAATCTTTCTCCTGTTTTATCCTGGTTGCTTATAGTAGATTTCAAGATGTGAAATTACTACATCTCACAGGAAATTCACCTGAAAAAAAATTGTAACATAATACCAACCAATATTCCAAAAGTATAATATCATGTTGTACTATTCATTCATATATTTGGACTTCTTTTACAGCCAAAAGAAATGAATAGACAAACAAAAGCAAAATTAAACTATTTAGGAACTTGTCAATGAAAGTATATATTTCCCACATATTCAGTTCATATTTCTATTTCTTGATGTATTTCCTTAATCATGTGTATACATTTGTATCAGATATATTAAGGTATGGTTGATTTATACATTATATTATAAACTACATAATTAAATGTATCATCTTACATTTTCATGTATGTATGCCCTATGAAACTATCATTCCAATTTAGATTATAATTTTGTTCATCATTCAAAAAGTTTCCATGTGCCCTTTGATAAGCCCACCCCTTCATGGCCTTCTTAAATCCTTTTGCTCCTTCAGCAACCATTAATTTTATTTCTGTGCTATAGATTAGTATACATTTTCTTAGAGTTTAATATAACTAGAATCACATAGTATGTATCTTTGGTGGGGGGTCTGACATAACTGTATGGAGATTCACCCCTGTTATTCTGTAGGTCAAATTGTTCATGCCTTTTTATTGCTTAGTCCACCACTGTATGGCTGTACCACAATTTGCTTATCCATTTACCGGCTAGTAGACATTTGAGTTGCTTAGTGTTATGTTTAGATCCAAAATGTCCCCCAAAATTCTCATAGTTGGAAATAGGGCCTGATTACAAGGGATGGTTCACTGGAGGTGTAATACCGAAGGGTATATTCTCCTTCCCAGCTCATTTCTTCTCACTCAGCCTCCTGGCTGCCAGGCTGTGAATATCCTTCCCCTGCCATACTATTCTGCCATGCCATTTCTGCTTTGGAGATCATTAACCATGGACTGAACCCACTGAAGCTATGAGCCAAAAGAGCCCTTTCTTTCCCTATATTATGTGAGTTGGGTAGATTGTTCTAACCCTAAGAAGATGACTAATAGCATTACAAACAAAGCTGCTATGAATATTCATGTACAACTTTGAGAAATTGTCAACTTGTTTGCCAAGTGATTGGTCATTTGACATCCTCACTACTGTTGTATGAGAGTTTCTGTTTCTCAACAATATTCAGAACGATCAGTCTTAATTTTATCCATTCTAAATGGTGTACAGTCACATCTTATTATATTTCACTTAACATTTTCCTGGTGACTAACGATGTTGAACAATTTTTTGTGTGTTCATTTGTCATCAGTGCATTTCCTTTGATGAAGTGTCTCTTAATATTGAATTTTGAGTGTTCTTTATATATTGTGTATATAATCCTTTATCATATATATTTGCAATTTTTTGCCAGCCTAAGCTTGTCTTTTCATTCTCTAAATGCTGTCTTTCAAAAAGCAGGTTTTACATTTTGATGAGGTTCAAGTTATAAATCTATTCTTCCATGAATCATGTGTTTGTTATTATGCCTAAGAAATCTTTGCCTAACCAAGGGCACAATAATTTACTTTTGTGTTTCTTACAGAATCTTTATAGTTGCATGTTTATGTTTGGGTCTATTCTTTTTTGAGCCAAGTTTTACATATGATGTGAAGTATGGACTAAAGTATAGTTTTTAAAATATAAATATCCAATTGCTGCAATAATATTTATTGGGATTACCATCCTTTCTCCACTGAACTGATACAGCTTTGTCAATCATCAATTTTCTATTTATGAATATCTATATCTTTGTTTCATGGCTCACTACTTTGTTTTTGCTCTATTTGTCTACCTTGACATGACACTGCATTATTTTGACTACAATAGGCTTTTAATATATCTTGAAATCAGGTATACTTGGTCCTTCAACTTGGTTCTTTTTCAAAATTGTTTTTCTGTTTGCTGTCCATATGAATTTTAGAATCAATTGTCTCCTCCTACAGGAAAGTGCTGAGGACAACTGTGGAAGGGCAAGCGTCCTGCGGACAGCACTCTTCAGAAAACTGCATGAGAAGGTTGCTGGGGAAGCTGCTGGCTACTGCTGACTTCTGTGTATTGCAGAAGCCAGATGCTGGAGCTGTCATCTGAGCTGCAGAAGTCTGGTGCTAGAAAATCTATGTCTACTTCAGGAGTCGCAGGTTGGAGAAGACTCCATTGGAGTTTACAGAGAAACACAGTGAAACCCAAAGGATGGCCTTTTCTTCTCACAGTGTCACTCTAGTGCTCTCTACTGACAAAATTTAACATTCAGCGAATAGGTAAAGGAAAACATAAAAGAACCAAGCTACATTTTCACAGAGCAGCCAAGAAAGGGTGGATTTGGAGCTGAAAGGTTGCTAACTGTGCTAGCTGATAACTAACACAGCATTTTTAAAATAAAATTCTCATACAAGCAGATAGGTAATTTAGTTATTTCTGTAACATGGTGTAAATTCTGTTAAACTCTTATCAATTAATTTGGATCATTGTAAGGTCATAGATTGTTCCTAATTTACAAATCCTAAAGTTTACCAGAAGTTTCAATTGTTTATTTTTATTAAATGTTTTCAAGTACACTAATACTTCAGTTGTTGAACCAATTCATCACAAGTTCATGTTCAAACACCAAAACATTTGAAAGCTGAACATATTTTTCCCATAACAAATAATGAAGAACTAAATATTTGGTTCTGAGGCCCAAAACTTACATTTATAAATTCATTTTTCCAAGACTTTACCAAATTTCAGTGATTTCTTTCTTAAACTGTATTGTAGTTCTCATAGTTTTCCTCTTAGCTTTATTGCTAGTATCGCTAACTTTCTTGGGAGCCATGGTTATGATATTTTATGCAAATAAAGCACAATGATGAATGTTTTAACACATTAACACAAGCACTACATGTTGTCTGGGTGAGAGTGGTGCTTAGACTGAAGCAATGTCCCTTTGTGTACACACACAGCGAGAAACAAGTGATTCATTTTCAGCAGGTACAAGTGTTTTCAAATCGAATTTTCATTTTATAAGCAAATTTATGAACATGGAGCAAAATTTTTTCAAGCTTTGCTGTCTTGAGTAATGGAAAGTTTGAGTTTAGAGACACTGGACAACCAAGGTATCACAGTACAACAATCTGAGTAGGCAGGGTCTGCTCAGTGGTTGAGCAGACTCTGGAGCAGAGACTTAGGTTTGTGTGTGATTCTGCCACTTATTGGCTGTGTAACTCTGAGCTGTCACTTTGCACAAGCCTAAACAATACTTACCTAGCTCACTGGCTTACTATTAAAATTAAATAAATTAACACACATATCTCCCTTAAGAGTGGTAATCCATTTCTGAAAATCAGATTTCTAGGAATAAAATCCTGGAGTCTATATTATATGAATTTGAAGAACAATTTGAATGTGTAATTCATCAAACATCTCTCTCTCTCTCTCTGTCTCGTAATTTAAGCTGCAACTAAACACATTACAATTCTTAACTATGAACTATTTTATTAGTATGTGAAATGTCCAAAACATCCCTTCCTGATCACCAAATACTATTTGCATATTAAGGCAGGAACATCATGTTCCATATCTTGGAAGATCTTTTTCATTGTAACACTGAAATATGTTTTCTGTCCTTCTTTGCTTCTTTCTCTATATTTTCTTCAATGTTTTGTCAAGTTTATTTGGAACTCATTATATAACAGCAGGCAAACACAAGACAGCAGGAAATGGGTTCAGGACCAGCACGGTGAAAGTACCACACTAGTAGAATGGTGAGAGCCTATATCCTAGGGGTATCGCCAAGATGCACCTCTTTTGTTGACCATCATTGCACTTTTCAACCTGATTTTTCACCAATTGTAGCTGGAACATCATTTTCCTTCACTTTTTTCTTTTTTTAAAAACAAGTACTTTAAAGATGTAAATATATTTTTATATACTGTACAAACATCAAACAACATGTAAAAATTAAGATTTTTTTTTCTCTCTTTCTAAGGAATTTTAGGTGTTAAAAACGAAGAATCATTCTACTAAGTTCAGGGAAAGCCGTATGAATATGCTTGGCCTACAAAATTCGAAGTAAGAGGTTTGCTTTCGTCTGATTCACTAACCAGGTCAACAGTTGTATTCTGTCTTTCATTTATTCATTCATTTCAAAATATTTTTCGCGCTCCTTCTACAGATTAAGTCCCATGGTTAACCTTGGGGTACAATATGGACTGGAATGCACTCCCTATCTTCAGGGAGCCAATACTTCAGGGGCAGTGCAGTCTACGAGAGTCTAGCTTCTCAGGCGCAGCCGGAAGCGCCGTCGTCTCGAAAGCGTTTCCTGTTCTTCAGCTGTGCACGCACTGCACCGGAGCCTGTTGGAAACAATAAAATGAGAGCAGAAATCGGCCGGGCTGGGGCTGGTCACGGCTAGCCAACGCTGGCCGCGACCGTCCATTTCAATGATTTTTACCCTAGAACCAACTTCACGCAACGACCGTTGGAAATTCAGGTGTCTGTTTTCCATCCACACTCTAAAAATTGCTCAGCGGAACCTTGTAACGCCGGAACTCGAAACGCAAGCTCCTTTCGTTGCTATCCGTACAATTCTTGACGAACACTTCCGTTCAGGCAAGATGGCTGCGGCCATGCAAGACTCACGTGTGGCCACGGGGAAAAAGCTGAAAAAGTCCCTGAAAAAGAAGAAGATGAAAATAGTAGCCAGGGCTGTGGCCTCAGCTTCCGACAGCGAAGGTAACGTACCAGGGCTGTGCTATCGGCGGAGCTCGCTGGAGCGGGGATGCGAGCGCCTCAGCTCCTGGGATCTCGGCCGAGCCGCGACAGCGACCGCGGCTGGGAGCGGAGCTGTGGGGCCGGGGACAAGGGCTGCTGTCATCCTGGGCGGAAACTACCGTGCTGTTACTTTTCAGTCGTTGTTACAAATACTGATTAGGTTCTGAGGTCCACTTGGTATTATGGGTCAGTTACGTCATCAGTTAAGCTTTCCAGCTTATATGAAACCATTTTCTCCAGTTCAGTTCAGTGAACATTTGTGGCCTTTTGTGGTAGTAACTTCTAAGTGTTGAGGAAGCAAAGGATGCATAAATTGCTGCCTTCCAATTATAGTTTCAGGGAGGAAAGATATTAAACTCAGGACCATAATACAATATTGTGAGTATTATTAAGAGGTAGTTACTGTTCGGCATGGTGACACATGCCTGTAACCCCAGCATTCTGGGAGGCAGAGGCAGGAGTATGACAAGTTCAGGTGTAGCCTGGACAACTTGGTGACACTGTCTTAAAATAAAAAAAAATAAAAAATAGCTTGGTTTCTAGTTCACTGTGAAGGTCTTGAGTTCAATCCCCAGTACTAGAAAACAAAATAAAACAAGAAAAGGAGTTGTCAAGATCTTGGGCCAATTCAGAAATGGTAGGGATAGAGACAGAAATCTGCACTGTATGGAACCCAGCCTAGGCGTCACTGTCTTCTCTCTTATACATGCCACTCGTGGTATACTATATTATTATTATATTTTACCATGCATCTCTCTTTACAGGTGTATTTCCTAAATGTTGTTCCACTGTGTCTTGTTTAATCTTTATTTTCACATGATATTCTTTGCATACTTTGATATTCAGTAAATTTCTGTGTTAAATAAGTGAGTAGTGCATTTCATCCAAGCTTTGAAGGAGCAATAGTTTTCTAGGCCAGGGATGGAAAGGATAGCTTTCTTAGACCTAAAGAAAAGCACATACAGTGAACTACAGTCTCTTAAAGTTCAGTGTTATTACTGGACACAGTGAATCATGTAGTATGGCCCTGCCTCTTCAGAGACATGACTAGAAGTGAATCAGAGTAGAGACTAAAGGCAGATTGTAAAGGGTTTTGTGTATCACATGCAGAAGATCAGATTCTCTGTAAGCATCAGGGAACTACTGAGAATTTATAAGCAAGAAAGTGACTGACATTTGTTGCCGACTGTTTAGTCACTGCCAGAGAGAGCCTAAACAGTTAGGCAGTTGTAAAATTTATGTTGGGGCCTGTGCTAGACAGAATAATGAAGAGAGAAAAGGACCCCACTTGGAAGGTTTTTCAGAAAAGCATTCAATTTTGTGAACAAGCAGTTTCACACTCATAGCACCATAAATTTTGGGCATTCTGTACAATTCAGCAAATTAGATATTACTTTTTGAGCTAGATTTGGTATTAGATACTGTTCTAAGTTATTTATATATTCAGTAAATTCGGATAATAATCTTGTGATATACGTGATTAGTGTCCTCATTTTATAATATAAGTAACTGGGGTCCAGAGAAGTTTATAATAATAAGATGATGAGCAGTCTGATAAATGACACAACCATTGTTGTAATTTGGCTGTCAAGCCTGCACTCTTGAACATTACCCTGGTATTGTCGAAGAACCAGGGGTACATTAGATGACCAGAAAAAATTATTTAGAAAGTGAAAGGGCAGGGCCATAGAATCTGAAGAAAGGAAATGCTACTGGGAATAAAGGAACCTTGGTATTGATACAAGCTTTTCTACCACTTGAGAGTGGCCCATCACTAAAGGACATTTTTGTGGTCAGGTTTCTGTAGCATTCCTTCCAATGTTTATAACCATCATCTGCTTCAGTCTGTCTGTGTCACGTCCAAGTCTATGTATTATTTCAAGAAGGAAATGCAATATTTGCTCAACTACATAAGGGGAACCTGTTTTTGCACCACCTCTTGGAGTGACTTTGGGCTAGTTATTTACTGTTGCAGGTTGAGCATCCCAAATCTGAGAGTCTGAATTGCACAATGCTGAAAAATCTGAAGCATTTTGCTAGCTTATAGGACGCCACAAGTGGAAAATCCACAGCTGATATATGTAGCAGGTCACTGTCAAAACACAGGTACTTTAAATAATATTATATAAAATTAACCTCGAGCTGTGTGTTCCAGGTATGTATGAAATTTGAATGTATTTCTTGTTTAGACTCACCCCCATCCCCTGGCCAGATCTCATTAAGTGTTTGCGTGTATTCTAAAAAGGGGTCTGCCGTTTGAAGCACTTCTGCCATTTTGGATGCAGTGTGCTTAACCTTTGTTCCAGTTTCCCACCTATCAAATGAGGTTATAATGTCTATCTTAGGATCTTTGTGAAGATTAAATGAGCTCGTGTGTAAGTCATTTCATGTTTGGCACATAGCATTCATTCATAAATGTTAGAATTAATGATGATTATTTCCATTCTGATGCTACAAAACTGTTGTTATCTCTGTTGCCAGATAAGCCTTCTAGTCTTTGATAAGTGTGGGGTTTACAGTAAGTTGGAGTTCTCTCTAGAAAAGCAGTTTGAATTTCCTCTAGGAACCCTGAGGAAGCTGAAGCATTTCTGTTTCAGAAGAGGAAACACACCTAGAAATGCACTTTGCATTGTACTGAGCTCCCAGTAGAGGACCCTTAAGCTGATGGGTTCTTCCCTTCTTCCTCCGAGATCAAAACATTGATCAGACCTTTGTGGAAAAATCAGGGTTAGTGGAAATGATTTTGACATCTTTGCTTAGTTTTTCCACAGACTCTTGAAACTCAATATTTACAAAACTGAGTTCTTAACTTCTCTTCCCAAAGCCTCTCTCTATGAGAATGACAAATATCAGCCCTGCCCAAGCTGGAAACACAGGTGTCCTTGCTTGCTCTCCCCTTTGCTTCCACATCTGGCTGGTTTAATGCACCCATTTCTTTGATAAGCGTGGGGTGTACAGTAAGTTCTAGTTAGTACTTCCAGATACCACCTTAGTTCCTGCCTGTCTCTTTTGCTTATGTTAGTACTAAGGGGTACTGTCTGTACTTCCTGTCTATAAGTCTGTTCTCTGCAGTATGTCATTTGGGCATTGTTGCTTAAACTACTAAAGGAGGATTTTTGTTTTCTGTTGTTTTGCTTTTTAAATTTTTTGTCGTGGAAAAGTGTTTTTAAAAGTCAGCAAAAGATGATCAAGGAACATGACCACATGCTTGGATACCATAGTAACCTCTAATTGCTATAGCAGTTTCCAAATCTTTACTCAGTTTATGAAGTTATACAGATACTCCTCATTTAATGACAGTTGTTTAATGACTGTTCAGATTTATGACTGAGGCACTTGGTTCGGACTGACAACCCGCTACATACCCTTACAACCCTTTTGTAATTTTTTGGGGTGCATATCTGTACATCTTGTTGATAGAGCTTCAGTGTCCTTTTTTGTACAGTACACCTTGTTTATACAGTACTGTAATTTTTACTAATTGTACTGTATAGTACCATTATGTAGTTTTAGGTTCTGTTATATATTAAAGTACATAATGCATGTAAAAGTTACGCAAATCAAAGCAAAGTCATCACATTGGAATTTCCTTTCACCGTTTCTTTGTTTTATGTATTGTATTGCACACATTGCCTACAGTTCCTCATTTAGCGACTAACTGAACAACTTAGGGGACTTGATTGCTAAAGGAGGACTGTCAGTGGTTGATTTTCACTGTTTATGGTAATGTTCTATAAAATCATAGCAAACACTGAATTAGTGAATAATGAATGTTGTTTTTCGGAAAATAAGAGGTTAGGATTCTATGAGTCTCTGACGAGAACACTTTTCAACTCATTACATACTCATATTTAATGTGTGCTTCTGTGCAAGACCAGTGTAGATTGTTGATTCACTGACATTGAACTCATGGCTAATAATGTAAGTTGTATGTGAACAAAGCTTATCCAACACTGTATGTTTTCTGTGTAAGTCACCCCTAGCCTTCTGGTGCTTAGGGACACTAGACGGCACTCTAGAAGCACACTTAGAGTCATGTGAAATAGCAGAACCACTAATAAGAGCACATCATGTGAAAAACGTGGCAGCAGATCACCTGGGGAGGACCTCTGTTCACAGTACGTGAGCTGAAACAAGGCAGAGCGTTACCTGGCAGGGCGTGTAGCATCTGAGACTGGTTTATCACACTCCAGCATGCCTGTGGGTGCCTGTGAAGCACTGTGAGTATCGATATGGGGTTTACAAATCTATTTTAGCAACCTGGTAAGTTTGTAAATACCATATCTACAAATAAGGATGACGCTCTCTCTCGCTGGGAACCAGGAGCAGTTTGCACACACAGCCCAAGTGATCAGAACACTGCTTACTTCTCTGAGCTGGGTCCTGTCGATCCCTAGGTTACCTGGGGTGCAGCTGTCTGAGCTCCTGATTCCTCCCCTGGCCTGCTCCCTCACCTCCTAACCGTGCTTGTGCAGTGCCGCTGGCAAGCTCTTTGCTTTCCTCTTTGTCTTCTGTACCCTTCAGGTTCTGATTTAGCTGTGTTCTCCATTTTTCCTTTCAGGATCTTGGTTATTTTTGTAATCGAGATTGGGACCCTTTATGTAATCAGTTCAATGATTAAGTCTGTTGGTTAATGATGTACATTTGTAGTTTAACTCAGAATTTGTTATATGATATAAAAAAGTAGCTGTTTTCTGCTTGTGAAACATGTATCCCTGGAGAGATGACCCATGAAAATGGATTTCTAGTTCAGATAATTGTGCCTGTGAGGCCTTGGTAGAACTGTTACTAAAAGCTTTTGGATAATGGAACAGTAAAACTAAAGGCTGAGGCCTTAGATGTGTGAGGAATCAGTGAGCAAATTATGTGCAAATTATTTTATTAAGGAGTCCTGGCTCATTTTGTTAGGAAGCTGGATGAGAGACTTGGTTGACTTTTAATGATTATAAAATTTGGGGCTG